AAAGAGGTGGGTTTTGTGCCCCAAAAAGGGAGTTTGTTGGGCACTTGGTGGGTGTCCTCACTGTTCCCTTTGCCCCAAACAAAGAGCCGTGAAGCCTTTAAATTAAACTATTCAAATTTTGTGATTTTTATTATAATATTTAATCGTTACTTAACTTGATACACATTTAGGGCACATCAGGATCTCCCTTCTAAAATCACACCTCTCTTTATGTCTTCATTAATGCCCCTCCACCATCCCCTTTCCTTCTCCCACACTCCACTATATATATTTATTATTTATATGCCCTCTTTTCCACAATTTATTTATCCCACAATACGGCCACTTTAATAAATAAATGCTTGGGTCTCGCTGATCGCGTATCTCTACTTTCTACTTTAGTTCATTTTTATTTTCTATTCTTACCATGTTCGTTTTTTTGTTGTTAAGAATCATACATTGAAAACATAAGAAACCTAACAACGATTTATAATATAAATGAATTACTCATCTCATTATTGATTGGTTTTGAGATAGAATCCGTGAATATGGATAATTTTGGTTCTTATGTTTTTAACTTTTGTTCATTTTAGTATATGTTGTGGTCCCTATACTTTTCTCATTTATTTTTACTTTTACAGCCTCATTGTTCATCTTTGGTTCCTTGGTAAATTTGTATTAAARTGTTTCTATTGTGTATCACTTTTGTGTTAAAAATTTTGCAAATGAAACTAAATTGGTCACTTTTAAAAGTACCAAGACTAAAACCAATGTTTTTAAAGTAAGGACCAAAAATAACATTTTGAAATTACAAATACCAAAATGAAAATAGAGACCACAGTAGTATTTAAGCCTAAAATATGTATCTATTTTTAAATGTATTACAATTAAAGTGGGGGGAGACTCACGGCTCTAATTGTTTAAATTAATGGGATAGTTTGAATTTGTAAAATGAAAGTTTGATTTATAATTTCAAATCAATTAATTTTATGTCTTATATGTTTTATATTTTAAAAAAATTTCAAATGTAATAACAAAAGTTTGAATGAACAGAATTGAATGGATGATTATGATAGTGATGGTGCTGATAAAAGAATATGATGTTATTCAATGATTTGATTTTGCAAATTAGTTTAATCTCATGCTTTAATTCAAAAATTACGTGCAAATTGACTGTTATATTGTTATTTATTTCTATCGACAAGGGAAAACACGAGGGAGAGAAGTTTTTTTAAAACAAACAATGGATTTAACTTTTTTTTTTAATTTGTAAAAGTTAAAAATAAAAATTTACCTAGATAAGAGTTTCACCATACAACTATTTCATTCTATAATTTTGATATATTTTAGTCAGGTGACCATCAAGAAATTTAAACTTCGTTTTTTTCCCTCAAAATTCTATATTTTTTAATCCCGAACAATTAGTAGGCATAAAACTCAATTTTTGGAAACTTTTTTCTTACCTTCCAATAAAACTACAATGTTCAACTCTTGGTGGTTAAATTATAAATATATTAATTAAGATTGACTTATAATTAATATTGGAAACATAATTAGAGATAGTTGTTATTATTTTTAATCAGTCATTTTATATAATTATTAATTAGTGTTATACTTGTATACCTACTTACTTGTCGCGGTCAAGGTTAAAATATTTATCTCGAACGTTGGAATATTTGTTTTAATAACTTGTACTAAAAAAATGAATGAAAAATATTAAAATATATACATTTAATGAAAGAATGCATGATGAAGCCTGTTTATGGACCGAGCATTGATGGGTATGTTGATGGGTTCATCCACATCCTCGCATCACATCATCCAAAAGTATCATGGTACACGATTAAAAAGGGCCAACTTCTAAAAATACCACATTGCCCCCACGATCCCCAGAGCGAGCAGGCCATTGGTGGCAGCAAAATGGGAAAGAAAACATATGATTGGTCTACCCTCCCTCGGTGGGGCCCAGAATCAAAGGGTTGAACGGTCAAGGTACAAATGATTAGTGTTGATGCAAAACATAGGATTCCAGCCCCCTTTCTTGCTAATGAACTTTCTGGTCGAATTGCCTTCCTTCCGGCGACTGCTTTTAAAAACCAAACCTCCCCTTTGCATCATTTCCTCTGGTCCTAAAGATGGGAAGATGACCAATGAATTGGAAATTTTGTTCCCCAATATTTCAACTAAAGATAGTTTCTTTCCTCCCATGGTTGTTTTTAATCGATTCTTTCTATGTTGCGTTCGTGGGGCTTGTGGAGATTATTGTATTTTTGGTATGATTTCGGTCCATGAATGCGTATCTTATCCTTGAACTTCATTCCTTTATTTTTAAATCTTATCTGTTTGGTTTCTTGAGAATAATATCATTATCTTTCTCACGTTGCTTTATTACGTTCTCCTTGATAGAACGTGAATAATCATCGTTGAAAATTTTAAGGTTGAAGATATATTCTTCTTTTTTAGCCACGAGATGATCGCCATCTTGCAAAAATTTTTTTATCTAATTAAGTGTTACTTTCATCTAATTAACAGTAGTCAAAATGTAATTGAGTAAATAAGACACTTTATTGTCTTTCACAAAATTGAAGGTTGAACATCTTACTTCTATAAATGTTAAAAAAAATTTGAGAGTATGCAAGTGAATATTATTTTGTAGTATAAAATGTATTAAACGTGTTGAGTTCGAAGGAGTGCAAATAAATTGGTTAGAGAAATGAGTGATCTATGATATATAAGAAAAGACAATTATCTCTATTGGTATGAGACATGTGTTTTGGGTGGAACCAAAAGCAAAGCCATGAGGTTTATGCCCAAAGCGGACACTATCATATAATTGTGGAGATATTCAGGGTACGAAGGATACTGTTGTCCTTAACAAGTGATATTAGAGCCATGGAAACCTAGCTGTGTGGGAGAAGAATCCTCGAGGGGTTGAACAAGAGTGATTGGGGCAAGCCTAATAGTCAATTACGAAACTTATGGAAGAATCTCAAAATCAAACAAAAAGTACTCAATGGTGGTGAGCAAAGACATGCTCTTTGCTCGGGTGATGAGCAAGACATGTGCCCTATCAAGTCGAGTAGACTAATAGGAAGAGTGAGGTATCTTTGTTTGAGGGGAGGAGATTGAGGGTGGTCCTAGGTGTTCCCATAGAGTGTTCCATATAACAAGTGCTTTATCTAGACGTGCTAGATAGAAGCGAGCTCCCGTTCCCAACTGGGATAGATGAGTTGCATGACTGTTTGAGGCAATATATAAGTGACACTTTATTCGAGGGGAGAATTTTTGGGTTTGTAAGGAGTGCAAATAAAGTCCCACATTGGTTAGAGAAATAGGTGATCAATAATATATAAGGAAGGACAATTATATTCATTGACACGAAGTCTTTTAGGTGGAATCAAAAGGAAACCTGTGAGAGTTATGACCCCTCGGGGTACCGTTGTCCTTAACAAATCGTATACTAGTATTTTTATAAATGTGTTACTGTTCACGCCATCATAACTTTTAGATATAGTTTTAAAAATAACATAAAAATGATATTGAAAATTGTTTCCAAAAAAAAAAGGGTTATTAAAGAGGTAAATTCATATCGAATCCATCAAGAAAAGGCAAAGACAGCGACAGAACAAATAATAAAAACCATATCTCAACAAAATAATTATATAAAAAAAAAACAAAAAAAGGAAGTAGTAAGTAGCCGTGGGAAATAAAAGTATAATTGAGTTGACTGGACCAATGGGTTAAGGTTACCAGAGAACGGGGTTAACAAAACCCAGGCGAGGCGAATGGGTTGGTCAAATAAAACCATGGTCCGGTTCTATTGGACCAGAACAAACCATCGGTCTCGAGCGTCATCATATAACCAACCAGTAACCCCGACGGCCAGGCCACGCTGACCCACGGCCCACACGGCCCAATTCCCACGGGCTCCCAAAAGGGGCAGAAAAAGCTGTGAGAGAGAGAGAGAGAGAGATTTTATTTCCTCTCTTTTTTTTCTTTTTTTCTTTTTCTGAAAGCAATTTTCCTTCTATTATTCTCGCTTAGAAAGGAACGTAATTGGCAATCTTACCGCAGTTCCATCATTGTACACTTATACCTTGCGTGCGCCCGTCGCGCACGTACGAGCGGGGCCTTCTCTTTTTTTAATTTTTAATTTAATTTGTTCATAAAATTTTCAAGCGAAGGGAAGTGGTGTTGCTTTTTTTTTAATTAATTAATTAATTTCCGTCGAATTGAATTCTATATATAATTTCAGCCTCCGTGCAATCCACAAGTTTCGCCTTTGACCGTATTCATTGTTTCTGCTTCCTCTTTCTCCGTGACGCTCTTTCAGTACTGTGTACGATCTGCGAAATCTCTCAGCTCAGCCACCGTCCTTGCCTCTTTCGACGGTTCTTCAGGGGATTTCCTTTTCCCTCCTGTGAGTGTTTTTTCTCTCTGCCTTTCTTGCTTGTTTGTTTTTACGATTTCTCGCCGGTTCTGTACTGTAATTTGAGTTTTACTGTTATTTTGAGCTTCCGCTTTCCGTTCCATCTCTGAGTGCTTGATTTTCGAAGTAGAATCGTGATTTTCTTCCTCTTCGTCTGCTTCTGCTTCATGATCTGCTCTGCTGCTGTACCTGTTTACACTCTGTATTCTTTATTAACGCCTCTCTGGCTTTTGAAAGGTCGAGTTGACTTTAATTGCTTATGGTTCACATGCGTCCTCTGTTCGTACCTTTTTTTTTCCTGTGTTTTCTCTGATTTGGTTTGTGATGTTCGTGTTGTGCTTGTGTTCGTCCCTTACGTATGCGTCCTCAGAGTTGCGTTTGTTTCAATTATGGAGCTGATAGAGTATTGTGCTCCCTGTATGGTGTCTTTTCTCTGTGGCTTGTATTTGAATATGACGAGAATCTCATTTTCATGGAGTTCGGAAGGTGATTCTAATGGTAATGGAATTTGCAGGAGTTCTCAACTACCGTTGACGGATCGAATTTGTGGCGATCTGTTTGTGGATAAGGTTGGAACAGCATGCGGTGGTGTCTGAGTCTATCAGTTGATGTTTTTCGCAAAGTCATTTCATTGAACTTGTACTGTAAAGTTATTCTGTAAATCCTTTCCGATCGTAGATCGATCATTCTCTTCCCCGTCATCCTGAATCAGTTGCCATCCATGGGATCCAATTTTCTCGTTGTAGTTCCTTGTTATGTCCTCCAGATTAGTTGAAATTTTCATCCGTTTCTTACCATTYCAGTTGGCTATCTAATCCCGTCGTTTTCCTCAAGAAATCCAGTTTAGTTTTCCAATTTCCGTTTCAGTCTTCTTTATTCAATTAAGCGTGAAGAAGGTGCTTCGTTTAGTTGGCCGTGAATCTCATTCGATAGTGGTGGACGAATCTTTTTGATTTGCATAATACGGAGACTGTTAGATATTCCTCTCTGAACAATTGTGCCATTTTCCCCGTATTGAAGGGCTAGGGTAGTAGTTATGGTGTGCCAAGCAGCTACTCAAACAAGATTTCGAGCATTGAAACACGAAAATGGGATTGCTGGAAGTACCACCATAATCGTCAGAGTCATAGCATGCTTTCAACCTCTACAGGATTGTCAGGTTCGTAATTAATATCTTTAATGCTGTCTTTAGAATTGAGAAGAGTTTGAATGGGTATTATTAATATCCCCTTTTTTCTTCATGAAAAATACTTGACTGTAGCTTATTTCATGCCCATTATTGTACTTTTTCAGGCTGAGTATTTCCGTCACTTGCTGAAACCAGTCACGTAGATATATTCTGTAGTTTTCGTTCATATTAAGCTGGCGTCTTTTGTTATTTTTCTTGATCCTGAGAGATACGGAAACTGCAATCACTAGTTTACTACGCCCTCTTTCTGGTATGCTATACTCGTCCATTTTTTAGGCCCCTACCCTCTGCCCCAATTTATGGGATGCTAGATTTTTTATTTTTATTTTTTCCAGAGTTCTAATTGTTATTATTGGTTTTGTCTAGGTAAATTGATTTGATTGGATGGGAGAAGCTTGGGGAGCCGGACATCGTCCTCAGCTTCATTTTGATTGGAAACCATCTCTGCTAGATTCTTTCGGTATTCCACCAAACCTGGACCAACCTAATCCCATTGCTTCAAGTATTAGCAACAATATGGTCATGACGAATGGAACTTTTCCAGTAAACTCTGCATTGAAGGTTCCTCAACCGCAGGTAGGCCTAGTAAATGAACCACGTAATTGGTTTCATTGCTTGGCACCTTTAGAGCAAGCTTTTTTGCCTGTCAAATGTCCTACTTTCAAGGATAAACTAGCGGTTTTATCTAAAGGACTTTCAAACGAGGCTGTTGCACCTCTTTCTGGTTCTGGAACTCAGAACAAAGGGTTTCTTGTCATTGATCAGTCTGCCGATAAAACAACTTTGGTTTTATGTTCTGGGGGTGGTGGCCCTCTCCAGCTACTTACTTCATGGAGTCCACAACCTACAGCTGCCAATCAATTTAATGGACAAGACATTGGAAATAAACGAGATTTCATTTATGACTCGAAACTAGTTTTGTCAAATGATTTTGTTGAGAACCATGAGACTGACGAGCACAGTGAGATGCAAGAAGACACAGAAGAGCTCAATGCCCTCCTATACTCAGATGACGAGAGTGAATTTGATGAGGATGATGAAGTTACTAGCACTGGTCACTCACCGAGTGCAATGACAACTAAAGATGAACATTATGCATGTGACGAAAATAATGAAGAAGTTGCTAGTTCAGCAGGTTCATCCAAGAAACGGAAGATTGATGGAGGTTATAATGTAACGTCCTTAATGGACACTGCGAGTTCACTGATGCCTAGAGGATCCCCAGAGTATGAGGAGGATGCCGAATCTAGTTGTGGAAATGAAGGAAGTCGTCAGGATATGCAGGACGTGGATTCCTCATGTATCAACAAAAGGATGAGAAAAGAGAAAATACGCGAAACTGTTGGCATTCTCCAGAGTTTAATTCCTGGCGGGAAAGGCAAAGAGGCGATTGTTGTACTAGAAGAGGCAATTCAGTACTTGAAATCCTTGAGGCTGAAAGCTGGGGCATTTGGTCGGAATGCATGCTGACGACATGTATGAAAATGGGAGGGGGAGTTGAGTTATAGTATTTTCTATTTTACATGTTTATTTTGATCAGAAAACAATGGTGGACCATGGCGAATAAGTTGGGGAACTCATGCATTAGTTATGGACAAATGCTAGTCCAATTTCCAGATAGATGTGAGTTGTGGATATCGTAGGTGGGAAGTTTGAAGAATTCCTAAGCCTTTMTCCAATGATTAGAAATCAGCAACTTTGGCTCAGTGAAATCTTCTTTTAACGAAAGAGGGTGGTGGTAGTGCAATGTAAGATGTCTTTAAAAGTGGAGAAGAATGATTAGTCTACTCTTATTATGAAAAGAGGGCAACACCCCCACCTGAACCAAGTGGGAATGGCTTTGTTGAAGCGAGTAGAGTATTGGTGGGGTTCAAAAGAGGTCCCAAATAAAGCAGTGCACGCCCGGCCCCAACCTTCACTTTCTTAATCTTAACCCTCTCTGCTTTTTGCATCAGAAGTTTTCCCCTCTTGTGGTGGAGTTTACTCAAATTTGCAGGTAATCAAGCAGTCAAAGCTTCCACTTTCCGCCAACCGCTGGGATTTTATTTGTTGCAGAAATTGGTAGCGAAAGGAGCTGTAGGTGAGAACTGTAGCCAAATTAGCGCAGCAGTAGTGGGTTTGGTTGTGAGTTATTATTAGGTTGGGATCCAGAATTTAATTTGGTATTGGTTGTCTTTATGCCTGWGTAGTAGCGTCGCAAGCAAGCATTTATGATAATGAGAGCGACGGGTTTGCTAATTGTTTTTGGCTGCAAGTGTAGAGAGAGGAAAAGAAAAAAAAAAATGCTGTTTGTGTTGGAGAAGGAGATGATGATGTGTACTAGTGGGGACCACCACGAGGGGGAGTTTGTGCATTATTAAGGGGAGGGAGGATAATGGCATCTGAATCTGCATGTGATGTGGCACGCGTGTGAGATTTCAGTGGTTGCTGATCTCTGGTGATGATTGTGATGCTTTTGGGTTGGTTTTTCGTTCACCTGCCTTGCCTTTTTCATGTCAAACTTATGAACTGCACCCTCCTCTTTCTTATTTTACTTGTGCTGTAAATTTTATTTGTTGTGTTCTCTGCATATCGGTTTGAACATGGTTGTGGAATTTTGTAGTCTGCGAATCGTATGTATAAAGTTTTGTTAATGGAATCGGTAGGCGTAGGAATTTTTAGATTTGATGAAATTCGTAGGGGTTGTAGTTGGAGTTTCTGCTGCCCAGAATGCAAGCCATGTGTTGCAGTATGTGATCAACCCCTTTTTTTGTTTGAACATTAGGATTAGATTTAAAGCTGTTGTGAATAATTAGAGTATAATTTGTTATATGATCTCTTGATTAAGTAGGTAATTAGAGTATGTGAAGTGGCTGAATGGATACCCTCGTTGGGGCGGGTGAGGTTGAGATTTTCTTCCACCTTAATTTTAAAACATTATTGACTTGTTCATGAAAAATTCTATATCTTTTAGATTTCTTTGGTAAGAAATTAAGATGGATTAGTAAGAGTACTGTAGCTGAAATTTTTTGAAGATAAGTGTATGGGTCAAGTTTTAACTAGGTAGGTGAATATCAAGATCATCATCTAGTAACTTAAGTATCACTAATATAGTCGTTCAATTTTATTTAAAAAATCGAATCCAAATGGTATAATAGAATTAAAGCAATTAAACATGCAATTGCCTCAGTCGGGCTCAAGGTAATTATGCTGGTTAATTAAGAAATCAATAGCTCAATCTTATTAACGTAACTTTAGCATGGAAGTTGAAGCGACACATTAAGTCATAGTCAAAACAGGAATATTTATTCTTAAAAGTTGTGTATTTTTGTTACAATATTTTTGTTAAAGTTTAGATTCTTTTTCTTCTAAAATTAAGATACACTTTTGTATAAATAGTCTTTGAGTGCCAGCGTAATACARTGAAATACAAACATCTTACTTTCAGTATGAAACTTACTCTTGTGAAATTCTTACATGTTAAGGATTCCACATTGGATTTTGGGAGGGCAAGTTAAGGATCCCACGTTGAAAAGAGGAACCCATGAATATTAATAAATCTAATTTTAATAATAAGCAAAGACTTTAATAAATAAGTCTTTCGAGGAGTTCTAAATTTCTCAATCTAAAAACTCTTTTAGTTATCCGAGTTCTACTCTAAACAAATTTCTCTAAGATTTTAAGTCTAATATCAATAAATCTATAACTAGTAGATTAGAGACCTCTAAGCATAAAGAAGAAATATAAATAGAACATTATCATTATAAATTAAAAGTCGTTGCATACATAAAGAACTTTTTTCTGGAATCTGATTCCAATCCACATCAAATGGGTGGTTGGATTGGACAACTTATCAATAACATGCTTTCCTTCCCTTTCTTACCACATAATATGACAATAAAATTGGTTACTTTTGTTTGATCTCCATATTACTTAAAAAAATTAAAAAAATAAAAATGTGATCATCTGTTTTTTACATTCAGGGGACAAAGATGATGAATTTTCTCCTCTTGCGGATTTTGATATCTCAATTTTGTTTTTTATAATTCAGTCAATGGAACACACAATCATAAGTTTTTGACATATTTTATGTTTATAGTGTTGTTAGATCTTGAGTTTGAAACATTTTTTTCTGGAAGGAAAATATATTTTTTTTTTTTTCCAAAATGAATGAATCTGAAACTTTAGAATGCATAATCATATTAGAAAAGGTGGATAAAAACTTTTTAATAAATGTACTCTTTCATATTTTATTAATAAACTTTTTAATTCATTTCATTTTATTAAAGATGGTAAAATTTAAGATATGATATATAATAAACTATATGATATCGATATCGTAAAATAACATTTCTACAAAATTTATAACATATATTTTAATGAATGAATTAATATTATTTAAATTGAACTAAAATACATTACTCAACACTAGTTTGTAAGGACCATTAGTTTACAAATATATTATTAAACATTGGAATAATTTTTTAAATCGAGATTCAATTTTTATATCTATTACCAAACATATATATAAAAAAATACTAAAAACATGAAATACAACGGTTGTTATTGAATTCCTAATTTTCAGTTTACATTTTCATACTACGAACTAAAGATACCTTTAGTTTTATGAATGATTAAATAACAAGTTTTAGCAATTCGAGTTTGAACAAAGTTGAACTGATAAAATACTTTATTATCATTTTAGATGTAGATGATTTGATTCTCCACTACTGTAAGTATTGAATTGAAAAAAACTTGAAAGTTGCTTGGTTTTATATATATTTTCTAAAAATTATAACGGTTACCAAATTTGTGAAGGGTAAAATTTAGACTTTGACTAGGTTAAATAAGCGATACTGTTAACATTAAAAATATATATATATATATATATATATATATATATATATATATATAAACTGAATGTATTTAATAAAATCTTTGAAAGTCATTTTTATTCCTCAAGAATAATGGTCTGATCATAAAGGTCCACCAGTGCTTTTGGGCTTCAGTCCTCATACCCGAGGAAGTGTTTGCGGGCATCAGAGCCCATAATTCATTCTCCAGGCCCAAAATAATGAGCCCAAATCACGGTCATAGTTGAGGCCCAAATGAATTGGGCCGGAACCCGTCACCTTGTGTTAGTTTCGTTTTTTGGATTGTGCTCTCAGTCCCTCCCTCTTTCACCTCCTCGTTCTATTATTTAATGAGTTTTTAAGAAGATACTTTCTTCATCCCAATTATCGAAATTGATATATCGAAAAAATAAAATATCATGGTGCAATAATTAATTTTCACGATTTTGGCAAATATTTATAGACCAGTCGTTTCTGTATTAGCTCTTTAAATTTCAAAGCATGCTATAATAGACCTTTAATTAAATTTAAATACTCATTTTCCCAAACATCATTAATTAGTGTCATAAATTACAAGATAATAATTTAAAAACAAATCATAATAATGAAAAAATCACCAAAATAATATACATCAGCGATAATTGGCATCTATTCCTTCTCTTATGGTCGAAAGTTCGAACCTCGTATTTCTAATTAGTTGTATTAAAAAATAATAATAAAGAAAATATGTCCCCATCATATATTAGCTCTATTCTTATTATTATTTCTTTATTCCAATGTGTACTGTTTTCTGGCTATAAAATTTAGCTTAAATTTCTAAGTTTATCATCACAAGGTCCCTCCTATGTAAAATTGATCCTACTTGAAATTCTATCTTTAAAATGAAACCAAATTTATGCATAAATTCTAATATCATATGTTAGATTTTTATATTCACCAAAAAGTTAAGGAGAAAACTATATTCTTATACCTCAATTAATAGTGTATTAAGGACGAATTCTTCAAAAAATTAATTTTCAAATAAAACCACTTTTTCTATGAGTACTTTTGGAAGAATTACTGGAATGAGTTTTGTATAAATAGTTTCATTAAGTAATTTTAGATAACTAAAAGTACATTTTAAAAAAAAATATATAATATTTGATATTAATAAAAAAAATTTTAAAATTGGGTTGTTTTAAATTTTATTTTTGAACGAGTCGAGATGATTATCTGAAAAGAATATTTTAAATGGATTGATAGTATTCTTATAATTTAAATAGATGAAATAGGGAAATTGCAATGGATTGCAAAAATCTTTTATTTATTTTAATATGTCACCTGTTTTTAGAATGGTCAAGTATAGTAAAAATTTTCACTTATATCAGTAGTATATCAGATATTCATATCAATCGTATATCAGACAGTCATATCAGTAGTATATTAGATGTATATCACATATATATTGCACAGACACTCGTATCAGTAACACATCAGATGAATGTCACATGCATTTTGCAAATATATCAAACACTCTATCAGTAGTATATCTTATGTATATAATATACATATATTAGTAGTCATATAGATTACAGATATATATCAAAGTTGTCATTTTAAAATTGGACCTCTATTTTCTTTTTGAAAAATCTAGATGTGGTTGCTATTTTGCTAATTTTACTAAATATTTTTGTCATATTTTACAACTGTCATAAAAAATATATTTAAATAAACTAATATACCAAATAAGTATCCAAGCTAAGAGTTAATTAAGTTTTGTTTAGTACAACATGCGAGGGAGGGGAGAAAACTCACAACTTCTTAGTCGAAGACATATGTCAATTACCATTAAACTATGTTCGTTTTGTCGAAAATTCATTAAGTTGATAGATTGTAGTTACAAGAACTTTTTTTTTTTTTTCATTGCAAGTGGTGCAACCGTCACCTATTGAAAAGTTGAGAAATAAGAACAAAATTGTAACCACACTTCTTTTGTTTCTTATTATATTTTGTTTTTCGTTTTCTTAGTTTTTAATAAAAAAATATATAAATGTATTTGATAAATTTTTTTATTTGTTGTTATTTTTTCAGTGGAAAAATAATAGACTTATTTTTAAAATTTAAAATAGAAAAACTAACAGTTTTACATGAAAATTAATTTTTAAAAATTATTGATTTAAAGATTTATGTTATATTTTTATTTTAAATATTTATTATGTATTTAATAAATCAATAATGATTAAATAATATTTATACTTATGTATTGAAAAAAAAAATAGAAACATGAACCAAAGGAAGGAACTCTATTAAACCTACACAATTTTAGAAATATTTATAAAAAGAATCAACAAATTAAGAACAATTACCAAATATTGTTTCTATAAAACTGAAATTATTTCCATTTTTAATTGTGTAAATGATTATCATCCTTCTTATTTTGTCCTATCCAATTTGTAAATATTTGTATTCTTATTATGGTGAGTACCACAATGCCAATTGATAAGCCTTCCAACTTTGTCATTTGATGTAAATAGATTGAATTTGAAAATAAATTAAATTAGAATTTACTCTTAAAAATAAATAGGATTGCACCACATGGAAAAAGTCGATATAATTCTAAATTTCATGACTTACCTAATAATCTTATAAAACATATCATTTATATTATATACTCACTTTTACAAAACATAAATCCATCGACTAAATATAAATTCTATAAATCCAAAAAGTTTACAACTATATTCCATTATTTTGTATAACTCAAACAAAAATTGCATAAGTCTTGGGTTTCTACTTTCTAAGGTTCCTAAGTCTAGATTTCATAATATAAGATTTATTTTAAATTTGTAATCAAACATTCCCATTATAAAAGAAAAAAAAAAACATAAATATATATTATATAAGAAGACCAAGTCATTGACCAATCACAATGCCTTTTATCTTCTTCCCC